TACGTAACAAATATATATATATATATATATATATATATATATATATATGTTCTTGAAGATTAATATGTAAAGGTTGACCTAGTCTTTGTCGAAGTCTTAGTCCTCACTATATATTAAAATAGTGGCAGCAGGAGTACTTTCTTGTTTGATTTGCTATTTGGACACCTCGAATATATGTATCTACTATGTACCAAAATATGAAAAAAATTATAATATCAAAAATTCATGAAAAATCATATACGTTTAAGGGAAGCCGGTTATTTACCAAGTCCTAGAATAGATAACAATCTTGTGACAGGGATGGCAAATCTAGAGGAATTTTACAATCTTTGTTACTCTAGTTGTACAAATGAAGTCTTTTCTAGCATCCCCAATTTAAAGAGATTGACCATTCACGCACCTTTTAGAGTAGGATACATTATTCGATGTCTTCTCTTGGATATGTCGAGCTTGACAAAACTTGAGGCATTCAAGCTTTCCTGGAGATATAATTATGAAAATCCCATCAAAAGATTTGTTTTTCCGGAATCACTTAGAAGATTGTCTTTAACTAGGTGTTCTAAGTTTATTTGGGAAGAGATATCATCAACTTTTATCATGTTGCCACATCTTGAAGAGCTCAAACTTAAATATTGTCGAGCCGAAGATGATGTATGGAGATTGACTGACAAAGACATATTCAGAAGCTTGAAGTTGTTGTTACTGAGCGAGCTAAATCTTAAGGGTTGGGAAGCAAGCAGCGATAACTTCCCTAATCTAAAACGCCTTGTTCTGAAGAAATGCAAGGACCTGCAAGAAATTCCAACAGATTTCGGGGAAATTTGTACTTTGGAATCAATTGAGTTACATGATTGCAGCACTACTTCTGAGGAATCTGCCAGAAATATCGAACAAGAACAAGAGGACATGGGAAATAATATCCTTAAGGTCTACATCCATAACAGCGACAGTAAGTTTAATTCTCTCTGTAAAGTTCTTCGATTCTTCACATTATTTAAAACCTCGTTTTTATTAAATCATACTTCTTTGAAATTAAGATGATGACTTGTACTTTTTATCTTGCATATGCAGGTAATTGAAGCTTATTTTGAGGGATCATCTAATGCTATCTTCCGAATTCAGAACCTTGTACTTCATATTTTTGTTTTTATATTCTGATGGCTTGTTAATTTCATGTTTTAGGAATAAGCATGTTTAATTCATGTATCGGCCAATTGTGTTTTTTTATTTATTTTGTAAACGGTAACTAGTGATTTATTTTCTGAGATAACATGTTCTAAGTTGCTGCCAGTGGTTATTACGGCAGCAAAGGACAGGTTGGTTTTGCTTTTCAATTCTTGTTAAAGTCATTATATGCATCAGTTCCTAGATCTGATGGTCCAATTTCATTTCTTCTCCAGAGTGCCCAACGTCAAATTTAATGTTGCAAAGGTGTTGCAGTCCCTTATCCCTGTTGTTGACCAATCAGTGAGAACTCTCATCTACCTTCTTTTCTTGGATTGGTTACTTGGTTTAGTTGAAATAACGATTGAGCTTACTTACGTTGTTGTTTGTTGAAGAAAGTTTACACTTGCATATCCTCGCTATACCTTAATGTCGACTTTCTAGTTTAGTAGAGCTAGCTGAGGACCCTGATGTCGATGTCCGTTTTTATGCAAGTCAAGCACTTCAGCCAATTGATGATGTCATGATGTTAAGCTAGAGATACTTATCTGTATTTCTGTTGGGGGTTCACTACCAGAAATCTGTTGTCAAATCCTCTCTGGACGTCTGGGATTATGCCGTCACACCAGGAAACAGTAAAGAGAAGGCAGAAAGTGAAATATATCTGTCTGAGATTTGGGGGTCGTATTAATACTAATATATATTTTAGGATGTCAAATATGAAATGCTTCCTACAGTAAGCTCAAGTATTTACATGTAAATTGGCTGTTTAGACTAACTAATTAGTATCTTCGAATGAATGGTTTTTCTTATTAGATTCTTTCTAGTTACTAAAGGCTGTTATATTTGGTGCTTTGTATAGTAGACCATTTAGTTGGGTCATGGCCATTCTGTTGTATGATCATAGTCCAGTGTAGATGAGTTGAAGGTTCCTTATTGAAATTTTGATTTCAATACTAGTAGTTTTTGAGAAGATTCTTATCATTGTGCATTTTAATAAAGAAGGCATAATACATAAATGTGCATTTCAACTTGGCCTGATCAACTGTCATATATGTCTTCCAATTTCGGGTCTGCACAAGTAGACATTTAATCTATTCAAAAGTTGAACAACTAAACACACGTGTCCTATGTGACATCTTACGTGGTAGGTCTCCGTTCTACCGAACATCTTATGTGTATTATGTCACATATGACGTGGGTGTCTATTTGAATAACTTTTAGATAGTTTAAGTGCCAATTTGCTGTAAGATTATTTTCTCTATTTACTGGTTATTATTCTAGGCTCATTTTTGCTGTAAGATTATTATATCAGAGATTGTCTGTCCTGAAATGAATATTAATCTTCTTGAAATGAATATTAGTTTTCACTAAATTGACATTTGGTGATGCTTTCAGAAAACCAGAAAGTCATTAGAGAAAACTTAGCTAGTAAGAAACTCTGAGAAGACTAAGATAAAGTCATTTAGGAAAAAAAACACAACTTGAGATAAACAAAGAGAGGCAGGTATACACTTTTAGTTCCATTTCTCGTAAGCCACTTATTTCTTCGACATAAGATATTAAAGTCATCTTCCTCCTTTTTTTCACAAGAAATCGATGTTTGATCAAAGCTTCTAATATGTCAAAAATGTTTATATAATAATTCAACGAAATATATATATTTGAAGGTATTTAGGGGAACTTTTGGTGAAAATAATTACTTTAAAACAGTAATAAAACAGTTTTTATCCCTCTTGATAATGATATTAAGGTCAGTCAAATTCATTTTGTTCATAACTTGTTTTAAGTTTCTACTATACACAACAGGGGGATATTTCTACTTAAACGTATGGTTCAACAATGCATGATCAAATAGTCTTTTAGTACTAGTATATCTTTTTATTCTAACTTCATACAACTTTTATGGTACAATAGGCCTAAGTTGCTCCAAAATTGTTGTTGCACTCGTGTCAGATCCTCCAAAAATGCACTACTTTTGGAGGATCCGGGACACACAATTTTTGCAGAGTCCGAGCAACAGAGCAATAGGCGAGAGAATATTCTCTTTGACAAAAAAATCTATGTGCACCACCTCTTTTACTGGTTTTCCTCATTTTGCTGATGATATTCTTTGCATTGACATTGCTGGGAGCCTGGATCATGGACAAATAGTGGGATATTCTTTGATAAGAATTCACCACATTTCATCTTCTTCTTTTTTTTTGCAGTCTTTGCTGAGTTTATGGTAAGAAATTCAGGGCAATTAATACCCAACATGATGTCAGTAATTATTAGTGTTTGCAACAAATTTTAAAGTGACAGAAAATAAATTACAATCACAAAAAATATGAAGAAACATAATTTTATTCATCAAGATTGCGAGTACAATTATGTTCATCCCTGATTCTACTCTCCTAAGATTTATCCATGATTCGAGGGTCGTTTGTGGCGTATTTTTCAAACTAGGATGATTTAGATTTGACCTCTATATGAATATTCCATGAATTTGTGGAATATTCGAGATCTTGATCTTTAAAAATACCCAAGAGTTTATGGGATATTTTGAAATGCCTTTTAAGGCAATTTAGTACCCTTTATATATGCATAAACAGGGTTTAGGGTTGAGTAGCCTCCAAGAATTCTAATTGAAACTGCACACATCTTCTAGAGTCTCAATTCGAATTGAACACATGTTGTAGAGTCCCACAAAATTTCAATGTCTACAAATGCCCCCTGCTTCAAGGCTTGTCGGAGTGTAGACTCGATGAAACTCAAAGACGAGGCTTGAAATACTCATTCTTCCACCTTTGCAGCTTCAGATTTTCAGATTTGATTTAAGAGTTAAGAGATGAAGGGCAGATATGATCCCACTGGGCGTGCCAATTTGTTTGCAACAAATTTTAAACATATGAAAGATAAATAAACCACACAAATAAAATCTAAAGAAACATAACTTTATTGATAAATATGCAGGTACAATTTTGTTTCTCCCTTGATTCTATTCTCCTAAGATTTATTCATGATTCGAGGGCCAGTAGTGGCGTATTTCTAGAACTAGGATGATTTAGATTTGACGTCTATATGAATATTCCATGACTTTTGTGGAATATTCGAGATCTTGATCTTTAAAAATACCCAAGAGTTTATGGGATATTTTGAAATGCCTTTTAAGGCAATTTAGTACCCTTTATATATGCATAAACAGGGTTTAGGGTTGAGTAGCCTCCAAGAATTCTAATTGAAACTGCACACATCTTCTAGAGTCTCAATTCGAATTGAACACATGTTGTAGAGTCCCACAAAATTTCAATGTCTACAAATGCCCCCTGCTTCAAGGCTTGTCGGAGTGTAGACTTGATGAAACTCAAAGACGAGGCTTGAGGTACTCATTCTTCCACCTTTGTAGCTTCAAATTTTCAGATTTGATTTAAGAGAGAAGAGATGAAGGGCAAATTTGATCCCACTGGGCGTGCCAATTTGTTTGCAACAAATTTTAAAGAGACAGAAAATAAATGGCAATCATAATAAAATAAGAAGAAACATAACTTTATTGATAAATATGCAGGTACAATTCTGTTCCTCTCTTGATTCTACTTTCTTAAGATTTATCCATGATTCGAGGGCCGTTAGTGGCGTATTTCTCGAACTAGGATTTGACCTCTATATGAGTATTTCATGACTTTTGTGGAATATTCGAGATCCTGATCTTTAAAAATACCCAGGAGTTTATGGGATCTTTTGAGATGCCTTCTAAGAGAATTTTGTACCCTTTATATAGGCGTGAACTAGGGTTTAGGGATGAGTAGCCTCCAAGAATCCTAATTTGAGTTGAACACAATTTGTAAAGTCCCAACTCAAATTAAACGCATCTTGTAGAGTCCCACAAAATTTCAATGTCTACAAATGCCCCCTGCTTCAAGGCTTGTCGGAGTGTAGACTCAATGAAACTCAAATTAAAGACGAGGCTTGAAGTACTCATTCTTTCCACCTTTGCAGCTTCAGATTTTCAGATTTGATTTAAGAGTTAAGAGATGAAGGGCAGATATGATCCCACTGGGCGTGCCAATTTGTTTGCAACAAATTTTAAACGTATGAAAAATAAATAAACCACACAAATAAAATCTAAAGAAACATTGATTATAAAAATTGTCTATATCAAAAAAAAGAAAACATTAATAAACCAGAGGAAGGTTCTCACATGGTAAACATCCTTCACCTTCAATCCTAAAGTAGCGAGTCCGAGCCATTAAGGGTGTTAGTTAGTCGACACAGATCTGTTTTCACGCATCCAACTGGCATTGACTTAGTTATGTATTATTAATCCAAAACATTACAATATGACTACTTACCCTGTTGTAATATTTAACTGCTTCTTATTATTTTATTGATAAATACTAACATGGTGCTGCAAATTAAATTGCGGTATGGTTGTATATCAGTCACCCAACTGCCCATCATTAATATTACACCTACTCTTCTGATTTTACACACTCAACTAGCATGGTGTTGGAAATTAATTAAAGTTTTATCATCATCATATTATACTAAAAGTGGAAAGAACTTAAGTCAAAAGTTGAATTACGAAAATACCCTTTAACTATTAATTTAATTTTCTTGAAATTATTTAAATTATTATTTTTTTCTATTTTAATTATTTATTTTTGGGTATTCAATGAAACCCTTTTAACTATTAATTTATTTTCTTGAAATTATTTAAAATATTATTTTTTTCATTTAATTTTATTTTGGGATTTAATGAATTTTGACTTTTCGTATTATGGTAATTAATACTCCTCTTTCCAGCTAGACTTACGATTCAGTTCTCATTATTAAATTGCAAGTTATTATTAGAAAGAAAAAAACCAACTATCTTTACATCTTCCATGTAGTAATAGTGATAATTTTCATAATCATAGTTACTATGAATTTTTTAATACTTAGTCATACTGATTTTTCATTACACATTTAATATATTTGAATTCTTTTACATATTTTATCCTTAGATTACAGTTTTATTTCCACATTACATTTATATGTTATAAATTGTTTAATAAATTAAATATTAAATATTAAATAGTAAATAGTAAATCATCATATTAGTATACATAAATTACCACAAACTCTTCATTATGTGAATGGATGTAACTCTCACTAATTATATTCATTATGTTTTTTACTCTCATCTCTCATCGATAATCTCAAATGGATTAATATCATATTTATGACAACTCTTTGTGTTCCTCAATGATATCTTATAAATAGTGACATTTGACACAATAATGTACGAACTTAAACCAATTGAAAAAACAAACATGAGAACATCTCTATGTTCTCGTCTCCCGTCTCTTTTTATTTGTTTAGTTTAACATTTATGCTTCTTGTTTGTTGTTATTGTATAACTTTCTATTATTCTGTTGTTATTATTATTGAGAATTTACCATGGTTTGTTGCTTTGTATATATTAGCCTAGCATGTTGTATTTTAGTATCCTCATTTGAATATTAAATTTGTGTGATAGTTATTTTTACTTTATGCACTTTTAGTCAATTTTATAGTTAAAGGTATATTCTTTTTATTAGGAAGATATGTAGTTCTATCGAAACAATGATGAATTTTGCAATACAAAATTTATATGAAGTATTTTGGGATAAACGTGCAGCGCATGTTTCCAGTTATAAATACACAAGAGTAGTAAATTATTTGATATCTTGAGTTATATCTAAAAATTATTCTTGTTGTAATTCCTCTCCATATTGACTTGATGGAAGCTTATACTGCTGTAATTTCTCTTCTTCAAACTCTTGATCAACCAAATATTTCAGAACTCTTTCATGATCACAGTACTGAAATGCTCGATTCTCTTCGTGCTACAGCTGAATATTTTCAAGATGTTCTTGAAAACACTAGCAATGAGAAAATCAAATCTTTGGAGGAAGATATTAGAGTTGTTGTTAGTGAGGCAGAGGATGTTGTTGAAATGAAGATCTCTGAAATCATCAAAGGCGAAAGATGGACATTTGGAATTTTACAACACCATGATAAGCTACCAGTTGTTGAAAAAATGGATACCACAAAGAAACAAGTGATGGAGATTCTTTCTCATGATGCTGATCAAATTCTTGAATTAACTGCGGATTCCTTGATTGGTGCTTCTTCTATGAGTGATCCAATGCTGTCAGATCACTTGAAAGATGATATCGTGCAGGGACTTGATGGTGACTTGGACATAATAGATAAAAGATTGAGAGGATCAACGTCGTATCTAGACATTGTCACCATATCAGGTATGGGTGGCATTGGCAAAACAACACTCGCTAAAAAACTTATGATCATCTTCCAATCAGGTATCACTTTGACATTTTTGTTTGGGTTACAATATCTCAAGAATTTCGATATAGAAATGTATTGTTAGAAGCTTTACATTGCATTTCAAAGCAAAGAGTTAATGTGAACACAAAAGATTATGTTAAGATGAATGACAGTGAGTTAGCTAATCTGGTGCAAAAGTGTCTAAAGGGGTCCTAGATACCTTGTTGTTGTTGATGATATTTGGAGTACGGATGCTTGGGATAGCATATCACAAATATTTCCTAATCGCAACAATGGGAGTCGAGTCTTATTGACTACTAGGGAAACTGATGTAGCAATATATGCAAATACTAGTAGCCCTCATAAGATGAACCTCTTGGATTTAGATAACAGTTGGAAGTTACTTCGTGATAAAGTATTTGGACTAGAACACGATCATCCTCCCGAGTTGAAAGAAATTGGAAAAAAAATAGCAGAAAAATGTCAAGGACTTCCCTTAATAATTTCAGTGATTGCAGGGCATCTCTCTAAAACGATGCCCAAAACATTAGAAAGTTGGAAGTATGTTGCCAAAACCTTAAGTGAAATCATTGCTAGTCATTCAAATAAATGCTTAGGAGTGCTCGGTTTGAGTTACCATCACTTGCCTAATCGACTCAAACCGTGCTTTCTTTCTATGGGTGATTTCCCAGAGGATTTTCAAGTTGATACTTGGAGATTGATCCAATTATGGATCGCAGAAGGTTTCATAAGGACGTCTTCCGGAAGTCGTGAAAGCTTGGAGGAAGTGGCTGAACATTATTTGGAGGATCTTATCAGCAGGAACTTGATAATGGCTAGAAAAAAAAGATTCAATGGTGAGGTAAAAGTATGCGGAATACATGATCTGCTGCGTGAGTTCTGTTTGATAGAAGCTGAAATGACAAAGTTTATGCATGTTGTGAGAACTCCATTGTCACCAGCACAAAAGCCTAATTTTCGTCGCTTCAGTATT